CTTTCCACCCCAGTGACAAATACCTGAGATAAACAACTTTACAAGACAAAAGGTACATTTGGCTCATAATTTCAGAAGTTTCTGTTCATAATCACTTTGACTTGTTGCTTTGGGCCTATGGCAGCACAGTACATCATGGCAGAAATGCATGGTAGAAGAGGCCTGTTCACCTCAGGTGGCCACAACAGGCTGGAGTCTCACTATTCCGTCATAGTGTGCTCCCAGTGCCCTAGCTTTCTCCAGCTAGGCCTCACCTCTTAAGGATCCTATGCGCTGGGGACCAAGTCTTTAACAAATGGGCATTTGGGGACATTTCAGACACAAAATGTAGCATCCTGACTCAGGTTCTGCATGCCTTCCCATGGCCCTCCACAAGCCTTGGACATGGAATGGATGTAAAGTGGAGTGCAGGGGCTAGAGAGGCCCATCTAGGAATAAGGGTCTGAGTGAAGGGCCCTAGGCCTCTACACATATATATTTTGTACATATATTTCATATAATGTGTGAGTGCATATATGTGTGTGTTATGTGTACGTATATAAAAATATGACACTGTTCACGTGACCCAGGTCCACCCAGCTGAGCATGGAGTCATCTTCTTTCATTCTGATGCCACAGTGATAAGTAACCTCAACTAAGGGACTGCCACTATTTTCACTGTTATGTGGGATAACGACATCTCTCCACAAGATTGCAGTCAGCACTAATGGAACATGAAAGTACTCTGTAAACTCCACAAGTATTAGCTGAACTACAAACTGTAAAGTCAACTAACTAGCAAGACCAATTTAAGATATGGCTGTCAACAATAAACACGAAGTCATCCAGGGAGCCATGTTTAAGAAACTAAAGTTAAAATTAAATTTTTTTAAGTTTCCTTCTAAAACAAAATTAAAAAAAAAAAAAACTGATGCTAGGTGCTAGAGCCCTACTCTGGATTAGAATTAGGGGAGCATTTTTTTTCTTTTTTAAAAAATTTCTCCCAAGTGATTCTAATAGTCAGCCAGGGCTGAGATCATAGCTTCTACTTACCCCACTGCTATCTAGGAAGTCAGAGACTGTTACAGTAATTAAAGGAATAAAAAAGACCAGAGAATCTTAGATTATTAGCAAATACCTAACCCAAGCCCCCTGCTGTGTGGATAAAGGAAACTGGTCCATAGAGGGAAAGGGTTAATGGGGCCAAAGTTTCCTGACTGTATGGACAGATCTTGCTTCCACTTTATAAGTGAGTTCAAAGCTACATGGCCAATGTGAACTATGACCTCTTTTCTGATTGACACTTTTGATAGGTCATGCATATATGCTGGCTGACAAACTGTGACTATCTTTTGACTGACACTTCCTTGCCACTCCAAACACCCTGCTTCACTCACTGACAGATGACTACAAGGAAGGCTTAGCACAGTGTGTACCCACTTTTCACAGAAGGTTTAAAGTAAAGAGGGAAACTATCGATCCATTCAAATGAGTAAAAGTCATTCAACATAGGCAACCTAATATTCAATCCTATAAGACTTCAGGTTCTTCCTCCAAACATCTAGTAAAGCTACCTCTAAGTGAAGTCAATCACAAGAAGCCATACTTTATTTTTCATCAATTTCATTTTATTATAAAATTAATAAGTGCTCACTTTTAAGTTGAACAATAGAGATGCACAAGGAAAAAATCTCACAGTTCCCCCATCCACAACCTTCTACACCTATCATCCACCTTCCCTCTTAGCAGACTACTTGAGACAGAATCCCGCCCTAACTCTGTTTGTATAACCTCAGCAACATTGTTCAGCCCATGCCTCCCGCTCTTCCTCCATAAAATGGGAATTACGTAACTACTCTCATGGAACTGAGTGAGTTAACACAACTGAAGTGATCAGTCACAGCATTAAATGACCGATGCATGCTAGATATTATTATGATCATTTCTTTTGTTCCATCAAACTATTTACCCAATAGAGTCCAGAGAAGAAAAGCTCAAAGGCACTAATTATTTGTGACCAATTTCTGTGTACCACCTTCAGCATAAAGCATATAAATGATGAAAAGATCTGGGCACCAGTGGCTCACTCCTACAATCCTAGCTACTCAGGTGGCAGAGATCAAGAGGATCATGGTTCAAATCCAGCCCCAGCAAATAGTTCGGGAGACCTATCTCAAAAATACCTAACACAAAAAGCAGGGGAGGACTAGCAGAGTGGCTCAAGGTGTAGGCCCTGAGTTCAAACCCCAGTACCTCCAAAATTTTTTAAAAAAATGATGAAAAGACCTCCCCCGAATCACAATGACCTAACAAATGCATAAGCTCCTACACAATCAAAGAACTGATGTATCCTCAATGTAAAGATGCAAGTAGACCATTGTCTTCCCAAATGAGATTTAAGGAGATCACATACATTACTCAATTTTTAATCTCCTAGCTATTTTTAAGTTCTTAGACATTTGCATTTGAAGTAGTAAAATTAATTTAAAAAATAAGCCCAATCAGCACCAATCAATTATACTATGATACTATAGTGTCTTTCTTCTTTAAAGAAAAAAAAGCTCTCCTCTCCCCCCACTCCTCTCCCTCTCCCTCCTTTCCCATCTCCTCCTCCCCTCTCTCTCCTTTCTCTCTCTCTCTCTCTCTCTCTCTCTCTCTCTCTCTCACACACACACACACACACACACACACACACACACACAGAGTATTTGGGTGTTTCACATCACTAAGGAAGCAGTAATACAAATATCATCAGTGTTTTCCCAGTGGGTAAAATTCAGAGGTTAAATAAAGTTATTTAAAGAGAAAATGAGAAACAAACTCCCAAATGGCTTCTTTTCCTGACAACCTATGTTGCCTTCTACCCAAAAATTCTGACATGAACATTCTCTTTCCTGCTAAAAGCTTTATTTAACACTGCAAAGAAAATTCTTTCCATAACCATATATGCTCTCCTACCCCCAAAAAGGCCACTTGTTATTTAAGATGTTACTATGAATGAGCTCTTTGGGGACGGTGGAAAATGCAGAACTATTTCTTATGCAACACCCTAGGGTGTGACCAATTATCTTAGAGTGTGTTGTGAAATTCTCAAAAGTCTCAAAACAAAATTAATTTTAATTTAGTTTAATTTGAAAATAAACACCTTGCCACTTAGCTTTTACAAAATAGAGATCTGTGGGGAGAGCTAGTGTGTGACACAAAGCAACAACTCCAAGAATGAGGGGCCCAAAGCTTGGTGGCCACTGTGGGATAAAGAGACTACCAAAACAGGAATACCTGTGATTCTGTCTTATTCCCTAGGATCTAAGCTATTTTGAGCTCTTATTATGCAATCACCTTTTCCAAAAAAAAAAAAAGTGTGTATAATAAAAAGGAAACTCTAGTGCATACCAAGAACTAAAGTAACTGCACACTCCAATTTTAAAAGATGCTTACCCTCTTTATACTCAAAGACAGGAAACAAGTTACCAACCAGTAAGCAAGCTTTAAAAATAGTAAGCAAGTTTTTGTTTAGTGCATATTAATTCTCCTACCTTACCTTCTCTTTATAAAGTCACAGGAGAAAGTGAGGAATATACATTTTTAAAATTTAACTCTAAAATCACACTCCATTATTAATCTCCTCTTTCTGCCACGAACTATGGCATATCCCTAACACACTATCACTACTCTGGCCAAGACCACAGCTATCTTCTGTGCTCAGTGGCTGAAGTCAGTAAGCAATATCCAGTCCACCTGCCATGACCTCTTGGCTGCACTTGACACTGCATATGACTCTGCTCTTCCTTCTTGGCTCTGGCGCCATGTTCTCTTGGCTGTCTTCTCTTACTTTTCTGGTCACTGCTTATCCCTCTCCTGTGAGGGCTGCTCCCTGCTGCCCACACCTGCAATAATTTTACCCTCCAGGGGCCATGCCAGGCCACACACTCTTCTCCTGCCATATACGTGAGAGGTAATCTCTCTCACTCCTATGCCTCCAAAGAACAGCTATGACTTCAAAATCCTCACCCAGATATCTCTCCTGAATTCCCTGGCATACTACCCTACTGTCTACTATAATTTTCACTTGGATAAACCACACACACCTAAATTTCACTCCGCCCATAACAGCTCATTATCTTCTTTTCACTGTTCTTCCTACTAGGTTTTCTAAGTGAGGGGCCATTCAGTCACCCACTTGTTGACATCAGAAAACAGATAATCATATCACCTTCTGTTACACCCCCCTAGGTAGAAACAATCTCTTCACACAATCTATCCTACCTTCTAGGCCCATCTTCAGTCCACCCACTTACCTCCCTGCATTGACCTTAATCCAGGCCACCGTTCATTTCACCTGCATAATTCTGGCAGCCAGCTACCTAACCTCTCTGTTTCAGGCTTTGTCCAAACCTCCCACCCTCCTCCTTAGTTCTTCTGATCTCAGCTCAGAGTCACCTCCTTCAAAAAGCCCTCCTTTCTGCCCAAGTCCAGGCCAAGTGACCTGTTGCTAGGATGTGGAAACACCCTCAACTTCTGCAGTCACAGCTCTTCTCAGACTTCTCTGAAATGAGCTCTTTATCTGGGCAAATATCATCAAGAAGGCAGAGCGATGTCCAACCTTTTCACCAATATACCCATAGTGCCTGGCACACTGGAGTCTTGATCTACTAATGAATGAATGAATGAAAGGGGTACTCAGAAGGAAAAGAAGTGGTCGGTATATTACAGGAAGATTTTTAAAGTAGTTTAGTTTAAAAAGTAGTTAATTTTAAAAACTAAAGGAAAGGCAGAGCAGAGAATAGTTAACAAGTGCTCTTAAAACTGCGTTCTCTTAATTCTGTAAGGGCAGAAACAGGCTTGTTCCAGCCTCTACTGTGCATTCAGAAAACCTTTACCAAAAGGCTGATGTGTAAACACAGAATGTTTTGGAGACATGAGCAACTTCATCAAAAGTGTTCCTCTTTGAAGTACTGGTGTCACCTTTTGATTATCAAGGCTATTTCATACATAGCTATTCAGATGTTATTAATACAAACCAAATTTGATGATGTCTTTCAAATCAAATCTTCACTCCCAACTTAAATGGGAAGCACTATATTAATCCCATTAATCCATCCCAAGCAGTATCACTAACAGCAGAAAAATCCTTTTATAGCCTTAAAGAAAGAAAATAAAAGTGTAGATTTTGTGTATGTTGTGATATAAATTGCTATAAAAACTGATTCCTAGGGAGGCGAAATTTTCTTACTGTGCCTGCCAAACCAAAAGAGGGCCCTCAACTCTTCTTCAACTCTAGTTCTTAAAACCAATCAGAATGTGAAGTGAGCCTTTGTGCCTTTCCAAATTTGTCATTGGCAAAGACCCCAAATATTAAGAAAAGAAAATTCCAAAGAGAACTATAATGAAGAGTTATACAAACACAAAAATGTAAAATACACATATGCATACATAATGTCAATTTTATAGATCATTACTGTACATAAGAATTAGCATATTTACTATAAACAGTATATTTAATAATAAATAAACTACACTTAAAAATGTATGTTTTAACATAATAGGATATACAAAAACATGAGGGGGGAAAAGGGAGCAGAAACATGTGAGCATTAAGAAAAGGTGAGTTCTAATTCACATCACACAAAATTGAAAAATTGAGAACTCTGAATAATAGAAACTAGAATTTTCTAGACCTCTGCTTCCATAAAAGAAAAAACTTCTGAAAGTCTATCTCAAAATTCCATAAAATAATCACAGAGATAAAAATAGGTTTTTTAAAGAGACCACAACTTAGCAGAAATATTTCATTAGAAATGATTAATGACTCATTTTGGAAAAATACCTGAAACAAAGTCAAAATACACTTGGCTGTTTTGTGAATAGGAGGACACAAAAGAGAATTAGAATTTTGTTTGACTTAAGAAGAGGTAGGCCAGAAGTCAGACAACTTTTTAAATCTGAATACTACATGCAGAGTGAGGGAGTGCAGGTAAATATTTAGGAATACCAAATTTAAAATGGAGAAAAGAGCAAGACAAAAACATTGGGGAAGGGAAATAAATAAAAACTGAGAATGACAGAAGGGAATATGGTCACTGTCAACTCTTCACAAGACAGATCTAAAGCTCAGATGAGATCTTGGGGTGGACAACTCCATGTAGACAATAGTAACTCTAGATAAAGTTGAGGTACTTTCCCAACAGAATGGAAGGAGCTCATACCTACAAACCTAGCAGCTGGTTACTCTTTAGATCCTTTGAACCTGCTGCGGTGCCTGGTGCATAATAAGTGTTAATCACTGAAGAATGAATGAATGAAGGCATAAAGAAGGGAGCTAAAGAAAATCCAGAAGAGAATGCAGGAGTTATGAAATGACCCTAAAAGGTATCAGTCAGTGGTACTCATAACTGGTAGCTTCAAAACATATCAGAGTCCCTTAGCTCCTCCAGCTTACTCCAGTTTCACATGCATTCCTTTTTACCACCATCCCACTCACCCTTGCCCTCAATACTTGCCATCGGCATACACTCCTCACTTCTCCTGACTCACAGCCTTGCCAACTTCCCACCTGAGCTCACCTCTTCCATCTCCTGAGGGCCCTCTTATCGTGGACTACCAGACCGTACAGGCAGCTTGCTAACCCCTTTCTTGCTCCAATAAATACCAGGTCTCTGGACCACTCACATCCCACTCTCTGACCCTTCCAGAATCATCTGCTCCAATTTTCTGCTAAGTAAACTCAAGACCTGTCAACACTTATGAACTTGCCAACAAAACTCCACTCTGAGCTGTTTAACATCATTGAGAGTGCTAGACTTCGAAATGGAATTTCTGACCTCTAAATATGATACCAACCCCCCTTCTACCATTTAAATACCAACTACTTGTTAGTTTTCTTTTTTTTTTTAACTCAGAAGCATAATTTATCCATGGGCAAATGAAGCTAATTAAAACTTTCATTTAAAAATGGCATATTTTAGGGCAACTTGGAAAGCGTTTTAATTAGGACTTAAAATTTAAGACTTAAAGAAAGCAAAATGACCAGAAAACAGTTTGATGTAGCCCAAACTGAGTTTAATGAGATATATAATTAAAACAGAGATACTAGCAAATGATTACATTGAACCAAACGGTTTCAAGCAGTGCTAATGGCAGGTTAAAATAGAACCAGGATGATGTCATCTTGCCTACTTCTCAGCAGCCAAAGGACTTGCTTGTTGAGGACATTTGGTGGGTTGGTATCTATAGTGGGGAGGGAGATGAAAGATAATCCAGCTCCAATAGAGGCCATCCTGGCCACTGCTATGTGGTACCCTCTTCTCAAGTACCACCACAAGACAAGGAAGCCTAGGCCATCGCTGGGTGGCCAGAGTCCACCATCCAAAAGGCACAAGATCATTTCAGATAGAGGAGGAAGTGCCACATCCTAGCCCAGGTCACCAGCCTATTGAGAAACCCTTCTTTTCTTCTCTTTCTTTTCTTCCTCCCACTATTACCAGCTCCCCTCTGCCTTCTTCTTCCTCCTGCCTCCAATCTATTCTGTTTTCTCCTGCTAGCTTTTTCTCTCATCTGTTTTCTTCTTTCTTAAACTTGGAAGTAGAGCAAAGTAGTCACAGATTTATTCAATTAAATCAATATTCCCAGAGATTCTGTCTCTGAGTTCAGGCACAGGCTGCACAGTACTACTCTTATAAAAATGGCAGGAACCTGGGTACCACCTTCTAGGGAAAGCATAGCTCCCACTCGAGTGTAAGGCACCCTCAGTGCCTGCTGTGTGAGACAGAAACCCTATGGTGTTGGAGGGGAGAGCTAACATCTGTGCAAGGGTATGATTATAAAGGAGAGATCACTTGAAGTGGAGACTAGGAAAAGACATAGGATGTGTATGTATGGTTCAGTGCTTCAGATTGCTGCAAGATTATTTTACATCTGGAGTGAATTTAAGAAGGGATAGCAGCAGACACAATTCTCATAGGAAGCATGATATGACAGGATACCTAAGCTTAGGAGTCAGAGGATTTGGATTTGAGTGCTTGTTCACCTATATAGATGGCTGGGTAACTCTGACAAATTGCTCAAATGCTTTAGTCATGAAACAAAAGTATAAATATTTTCAAAGTTGTTAGGAGAATTTGAGTAATGCATGCAAGTATTTGATATCTATCTTAGTCTATTTGTGCTACTATAACAGAACACCTTAGACTACGTAATTTATAAACAACAGAAATGTATTGCCCACAGTTCAGGAGGCTGGGAATGTCAAGGTCATTCCTCACAGATGTTGCCTTCTCTGTTGTCTTCTCACATATCAGAAGGAGCTCCTTTGGCCTCCTATTTTATGAGGACATGAGTTCACTTCATGAGAGCAAATTCTCATGACCCAATCACTTCCCAAAGGCTCTCAATACAATTGCATTGGGGATAAGGTTTCTACATAGCAATTCTGGAGAGAAATAAGCATTCAGAGCACAGCTGTATTCCAAAAGGCTGTTAGTCTTTCCTCCCGAGTCCATATGTAAACAAAGACCTCCCTTTTAGAAAACTGGGAAGTAACCTTCCCTCCATTCTCTCCTACCCCTCGGTCATCTTGTCCAAGGGAGGGAACGACTGATGGAGGGAAGACCTTCTGTGAGAGGAGAATGTGGTAAAAATCAACTCTCTGACCCTCTCTCCTGCTCCCTGCCCACAGGTGCCATGTCTCTCCTCCTTTTGCCCTCCTCCCCACCAAGAGTCAAGTACCCCACAGCACTGCCCAGGTTGCAGGAACCCCTACTTCAGCTCCAGGTCCATGTTAGCCTTCTCCATCTCAAAGATGATATATGGAATCCTAGCTGAGACCCGTGTGTGCTTCTCCACTGATACGCAAACCATGGAAGAGGGGGCTGGAAACTTCCAACCCCAACAATTATTATAACTAGAAAAAATGAGAGAGAATTTTCCGTTGGTACAGAAAACACAATGGGAAGGATTGGCATTGCATTTATAAAAAGAACAAGAGAATATGTAGTGCTCTTTAGATAAGGAACTCGTCTAGCCCTACTTTCTCTCCTCCATGAGAGGCAAGGCTGTGGCCAAGAAGAACCTCTGTCCTCTGCTTCCCTTTGTTACTCTCTCCCTGTACTCAAGGCTAGAATGTAACTGAATGTAACCTAATCCATGAGATGATCTACCTGGAAAAGACAATGTGTTCACAGAAAGGAAAGGTCTACAAGGATTCTACTTTAAAGAAGTTGACTAAGACTATGTGAAGATGCCCCCAGCAAGTTATAGTTGAACAGGTGCACAACCAGCTGATCCAGGAATAGCTATAAAATGCACTTGGCTCTACCTGACCAGAATGGCTCAATCACTATGACACCCACCCAGCTAACTTCATTTGCTCCCAATTCTACCTGGAATTTTCTGAGAAACTCTCCTAGATGGGATATAAATGCAATGGTTATCCACTATCACTTCACATTTTCATCCTGCTCCTCAGCTGTGTTAGTCATACAAAATGAATGACAAGGCATTCTGTTTGGCTGGCATCCATTCTTGAACCCTGGCAGGTTTAATCCCACCAAAACCAATCAGACAAATTAGCAAAGCTAAGAACAAGACCCTGAATAGTTATGACTACCTAAGTATTACTGTTGACAACACCCCTGCCCAAAAGGCTCACCACCCAGCTCCGAATATTGTTTGTATATCATTCATTAAAATAAAATAATATTTTAGGGCACCTTGGGTCTGTGGCAAGTACCTCACTGCAAGATGGGCAGGAAGAGCACGGGTCCCACATCAGGCCAACCCATGATGGGAACATGTAGGAGGATCGTCCAGGTGCTGGTACTGATATGTTATTCCAGCCTGGCCAGCAAAGCTTGCACCAAAGATCATTGCATCCCTGGTTCCCACGCAGATGGGTTCATGGGAAGAGACAGGAGGACAGGACACTGTCTAAGGTAATGTCATGTCATAATCAGTGGACAGAGAAGAACTGGTGATAATCCATTGTAGACCACATTGGACAGCTACATTGGGAGACAGGTAGGCAAAGGGACAAGCAATGACCTTTGTAGAGCATCCACCCTAGTCACTAAGCCATGGTTGGGGGTTAGGCCTCCC